CCCTGGCCAACGAGACATTTCAGGATTGGACCATTATTGGTGACCAAGGTTAGCCCAAGCACTTTGACAATGATGTGCCATGCTTGGCCCAATGAAGATTGGCTATCTGGGATGTCTCTCCACCCTTCTTGGCCCCAACATGCAGATGCCAAATTGCTATGACAAATATGATATGATTAACTGGAGTCTTACAGGAATCATGCACTCAAGGATGCCATAGTTATCTCAAGTTGTAATCAAGGGTGCCATTGAGACCCAATATCTCACATTAATCACTGTAACTGTTCAATATGTGCTCCTTCAGTGTCCAGAATGCATTGCATCTGTGTGACAATGGACTTAACAGCAGCAGCACACATCTCATCTGCAGTGGCGGCTTGTCAGGGTAGGCAGTGCCTACCCAGTTTACAATCAGAGTTCTCAAATTAATATTTGATAATTAATTCTTCAAATAACACAGCTGGAAGTATTTTTTTTCCGCTGTGAGGTAAAAGCAAATCGAGATTTTGCATCCAGAGTAGGCATGGCACTGCCTGCCTATGCTGGCTAGGCTCAAATTCCCTCGAGCCCAAAGCAGGAACGAGAAGAGGGAGAAAAGGAAGAGAACCACAGCACTGGAATGAGTGAGGGTAGGCTTGCCTACGGTGTGTAGTTACTCCTTGCGCAGGAAGGAAGGTTGAAAATCACTTGCTCACGCCCTCTGCTCAGAAGCACGTGCTTGTAGAAGCCTCTGTGGTTGTCACACCTGATCAGACCTATTCCACAGTATTATGCAGACTGAATAAGGAATCATTTCAAACAGGCTTCTGTCAGTCTCAGTTCCCTATTCCTGCCCCACATCCATAGCTCTCTTTGGAAGAGGCACTGTTTCCAAGTGATATGTTTTGTTAGACTGACAGTGCTTCGCATCCCTGGGGTGTCTTCCAATGAATGCATTCACTGAAGGTTTAAATCTTCATCACGTTTCCTTTTAGATGCAAGTAATTTCCTTGATGGCTAGTTCTGATTATGCTAAAATTGGATTTACAATTTTTGGATGCAGAAATCCTAAACTTATGTCAAGCCTATAGTCAAGGGTTGAGGGGGGGGGTGACCCTCAGAAGAGACTGGAGAGTGGTGGGTGAAGGAGCAGTGGTGGATACAAAGGGGGGGCGACAGCCCCCCCTATGGCCAAGCTTGCATTTGATTTATTTATTCAAAGTAGCATCTGCATTAAATTTATTGGAGCCAGTGAAATAGATACTCAAGTTCTTCCCCCAGACGAAAAATAAAAAGGCGAAAGGACGAGGAATGGTGGCAGGCAGGGGGGGGGGGGTTGGTAGGAACTTGGGAACTGCCCCCCTATGAAAAATTTCTGTATTCACCCCTGTGGGGGAGGGGATGCTCAGCGAGGTTGAGAGAGGAGCGAATGTGCCTGCTACTATCATAAGAGGATGCTCAATTGGTCAATATGGTTAGAAATGGGGATCATATGGGTGCAAAGGAATCATTTGGGGGTGACCACACCGCCCCTTCTTTCTTTTTTTTTATACCACTGCTGCCAACCCAATTTTTTTTACCCACGAGCCGCCACTGCTCATCTGGTATGCTGCCCATTCCCGGGGTAATTGTGTCCTTGAGTGTAGTAAAAGTTCACCTATTCTGCAAGTCTGCAGATTTATCATATGCAAAATATGTCACATCTTTGGGTTCATGGTCCCTTAATGCCCTTGTGTGATTTCTGCTTCCTGTCATACCATTTTTTTTAAAGATATGCACTGAAGTGTGGAAGTTACTTTATTTTACTTTTCCACATGATCATTATTAGAGATGCAACGATATTTTATCGATTATCGGTATCGGCCGATATATCGGCCTAAAACGATATATGACCTGCCGATAACCGATATTGAAATTACACCTGAAGTATGCCAAACGCTAAGTATGTAAAGCGAATGATGAATATTTTCGCCTTTTTCCCATTAGACAACATTTCACTTGACTCGAACACACGTTCATGGGACGTTCCTCATCCACGAGTGTCAAAGTCAAGTGAAAAAATGTCCAACTCAAGTGAAAACACTGCAGAAGGTTGAAAATGCCTAAATGACCCGTAAAAAAAAAAAGTATTAGGCTACTGAAAATATAAGCATT